CGAGAGGCCGGAAGCGTGAACGTCTGCTCAATGCCCTCCTACTGACAGAAAGCCTCCAAGAGGCCGGAGGAAAACTCACCACCTCTGTTAGAGTGCAGTCGCAGGACGGGAAGGTCCGTGCGAAAGCGCCTCCCCAGCTGGAGATGGCTAGTGCGGATCCAAGATATCAAGACAACAGGGACCTCTCCCTTGGTGCGCAAGGGGAAGGCCGTGGTGTAACATGTGTAGTCATCAACTACCAGCAAGAAGTAGTGCTCTCCACCCTGTCCACGGACGCGGGCTGGGCCCCACACGTCCATGTGAAGGGTCTGCAGAGGAGCCTCCGTTGGGGGGAACTCAGAGGAGTGAGGGGTGGAACGCTGCCACCCCTCAACATAGGGAAGGCAAGGAGGGGCAGGGGACGGTGGCAGGGGAGGCAGTGACCTAGGGAGACCAGAGACAAGGAAACGAGAGTGCATGCCATGAAGGCACTGCATTGAAGGGTGCCCAAGGTGGTGGTGCCAGAGGACCGTCTGTTGTTCAGGATCCGTCACTTTGAGAGCTTACGACGAACTCATTTCTCAACTAGACGCGAATCCGCTCTGTAGGAAGTTGCGCCTTAGGCTTAGCTACCATCTCCAAGTTGAATCAGTTGTTAAGATGGTCTACAGAGTGAGAATCGATTGAGAACGTCCAGCAGCGGCATGACTAGAATGGTGGAGGAAGTACAAGCATGTAGGCATAGAAAGTTGGAGTTGGGGACTCCAAGAGAACCATGAGAGGGAAGGGGTTCTCCAAGATTTAGGGAAGGATGGTAGGAACCTTCCTAGCAGCAAGGATGCAACCCTCATCATGAGGTCCTTGAGGTGTCACATGCAAAATCCAATATAGTTGGATTTTGCCTAGGTGTTGCAACATTTGCAACCCATGCTAGAAACTTCTAGCCACCCCAATCCAAAAGTCAAAGTTGCCTTCCCTAACCACCCGACCAAAGATCCCTTTATAGTCATGTCCCAAGTAATCACCCAAATTAGATAAAACCTGAAAAGGTTATAAGAAATCCAAGTCTTGGAAATCTTGTAACTTGGGCGATCTTGGTCGGAATAAGGCAATCTTGGTATGGTTGGAAAGCTCTGGATTTCTCCTGCATGATCAAGCATTTAAACTTGGAGAAAAACACAGAGATGACAATATCCAACAGCCATGCACAATGACATATGCTCATGCAAACAATGCACGCATGAATAGCACGAGCACTCGGCAGGACGTTAGGATGATATGCACTCAGAATGCCGTGCATCCAACAAACTCCCCCTGAGACTAACGGACTGCATGCACACACACTCACACACATGAAAACTCTCATGCACACAATCACACATGCACTCATGACACTGCTGCCCATACTAGTGCAATGCCATGCCACACATTTTAGCACACTTCCAATGTGCGCTCTCGGGAAGTCTCTTGGTGAGAAAATCTGCCGCCTGCTTGCTAGCCTTCACATGGTGACGCTCAACAGCTCCCTCCTTCACCATCTGCCTCACCCAATGCCCCTTAATCTTCATGTGCTTGTTCAGCCAATTCATGATAGGATTATTGGCCATGCCAATAGCAGCCTCGCTGTCGGAGAAAAGTGGTGTAGGTCCCTGCTGTTCAGCTCCCATGTCCTCTAGCACCTTTCTCAGGAGCACAATCTCCTTGATGGCATGGTACATCGCCATGTACTCTGCCTCTCTGGAAGACTGAGCAATCTCACTCTGCTTCTTGGACCTCCAGCTCACTGGTCCACCTCCGACCATGCACACAAAGCCGCCAACCGATGATTGATCCTCATCCTCTGAGGCCCATGCGGCATCGGTGAAGCACGACAGCTTCAAGGTTCCAGGCGTGACCCCATCTGCTCCAATTTGTTTCAGCTGGCCGCCAGCTGAAAACTGAACACCAGCAGATGCCGTTGATCCAAGGTAGCGCACCAAGCGCTTTGCCACCTCCAACTGCTCCTCAGTGGGCCGCTGCACAACTCTGGCCAGCTGCCCCACTCCGAATGAAGCATCAGGTCGCGTATGCACAGCTGCATACATCACACTCCCAATGAGTGACTGGTACTCATTCTGCTGCTCATCCTCAAGCACGTCATCCTCCTCAGCTGCCTTCTTCAGTTTGAAGCCTGCAGGGAATGGTGTCATCACAGTGCGACCTCCAGTCACACCATACCGCTCCATGGTACCAGAGATGTAGTGTGACTGATGCACCTTCAGCCACCTCCTCTCAACAACCCTCTCAATCTGCAGCCCCAAGTAGTAGTGGACATCCCCCAGCATCTTGCACTTGAAGTTGTCCATCAGCAGCTTCTGTGTCCTCTCAATCTGCTCCATGGAAGGTGAGAACAGCAGTATGTCATCGACATACACCAGCAGCAAAAGCAACTGCTCCCCCTCTCCAAGCAAAAACAAGCTGTGATCCGCCTGGGACGTCTTGAAGCCTCCACTCACCAGCACCTCCTCCAGCTTCTCGTACCAACACCTGGGCGCTTTCTTAAGGCCATAGATGGCCTTGTTAAGCTTGCACACCCGGCTGGTCCCATCCTCATAGCCGTCGGGCTGCGCCATGTAGATATCCTCCAGCAGTATTCCATTGAGGAATGCAGAGGTGATATCCATCTGCTTCACGTGCCATCCCTTCACATCTGCCCCAGCCATCAAAGTCCTCGATGTCACTGGCTTAGCAATGGGAGCGAAGATCTCCCCAAAGTCGACCTTCTCTTTCTGCTGAAACCCCTTGGCGACCAAACGGCTCTTGAAACGCTCCAACGCACCATCAGCACCACTCTTCACCTTGAAGACCCACTTGCTGCTGATCGGCAGTCGCCCCTCGGGTAACTCAACAAGCTCCCAAGTCTCATTGTCAATGAGATTGTTGAACTCCGCATCCATGGCAGCCTTCCACTCCTCCTTTTGAGGTCCACTCAGTGCCTCCTCCACCGTGGCTGGTTCTCCAGGCAAGGGTGTGAAGAAACAGAACGCCATCTCCTCATCCTCTCCCTCATCCGCCTGAATCGCCATGGCACCTTGCTTGGGTCCTCCCAAACGGCTATACTTTAGCCTTGAGGGTGCTGCTGCCACTCTCTTCTCGCGGGTTGCAATCTGCTGTCCATGTGGTGAAGCTCCTGTTTACACACTCCTCTTGGTGACCTTGGCGTTTGCAGCAGGCTCAGGCTGAGTTGGTGAGTCCACACGTGCCGACTCATCCTCCAACCCCTCCTCCGCAACAGGACCAGCACCTTGCTGCTCACCACCGCCACTGTGGTCACTGGTCAGCTCTGACCCAGGGAGATCCTCAAGGTGCAGCTGAACCTCCTCCACTGCAGACCGCTCAATCTCCTGCAAACACAAGCCAATCTGCACCTGCTGCTGCTACTACCAATCCTTGTACATGACGTCCTCCACAAACTTGACGTCACGACTGACCAGCGTCCTCTTGCTCTTGGGGTCCCACATCAGCCACCCCTTCGAGTCAGGAGCCATCCCAAGATGGACAGCCCACACAGCAGCAACTTCCAGCTTGTGCCTCTGCTCCTTAGGCACCATCACAAGCCCCATGCAGCCCCACACCCGCAGCATGTCAATGGATGGCTTCTTCCCAAGCCAACGCTTGTACGGCACCCAATGCTTGTCGCCAACATGTGTCAAGACCCTGTTTTTGACCATGATGACATGGCGAACGGCATCAGGCCAGAACTTGTAGGGCATCTCAGCAGCCCCCAACAAGGTCTTAGCCGCCTCGCCAATAGTCCGGTTGGCACGCTCAGCAATGCCGTTCTGCTGCGGTGTTCCAGGGCAGGTCAGCTGATGTCGGATGCCATTTCTCTTGAGGAACTTGGTGAATTCCGCTCCAAGGAACTCTCCACCTCGGTCGCTCCTCAGCACCTTCACCAGCCGCATCGCTTGCCGCTCCACCATCGGCAACCAATCCTCCTTGATTGCCGCTGCAGCATCGCTCTTCTTGGACAAGGGACGTGCCCACGTGAAACGGCTCCATTCGTCCACCATGGTGAGGAAGTACAGCACTCCCCCAGTCCCCTCAGTCCTCATAGGACCCACCAGGTCCATGTGCACCACCTCCAGTGGTGCCTTAGCTGATCCCTCCGCACGTGGAAACGGGAACCGCGCAAACTTGTTTTGCATGCACACCTCGCAGCTGCCATAGTGAGCGCCATCTCCTTGTAGTTGCAGCCCATGCACGCACTTCTCCTTATGCATCACCTCCAGTGTTGAAACAGCCACGTGTGCGAGCCGCCGATGCCAAGTCTCCCAATCCGCTTGGCCCGAGGTAGCCGACGCCTTCACTGCCGCGCTTCCTCCAATCAGCTCCTCTCCTTGCACACCTTGCTGCTCCTCCTCGGTGACGCTCTCCTCCATAGATGCTGCCGCTGCCGCCTTGCCCGATTTCCGCCAAGGGAGGACCGGGATCTGCCACATGCGCTTGTGGACATCTCCCTTCCACTGCAGGTCCCAAATGAGGCGCTCATCGATGTAGGCACGATAGCGCTCCGAGCCAATCGTCTTGGTGTTCACACCCGCATCTCCCAACCGGCCGGTAGAAATCAGGTTTGCGCACAAGTCTGGCACCCTTAGCAAATTCTTCAGCCCCACGAGCTCTCCATCCGCTCCCATGAACTTGGCGCATCCCATGCCCATGACCTTGGCCTTGGCGCCCGTCGCGGATGTGACCGTAGAGATAGGTGCGGGCTGAATCTCATCGAGTAGGTCCGCACGAGGAGTCATGTGCCAGGAGCTTCCCGAGTTAATCACCCAATGGGTGAGGGGGTGTAGGAGAACCTTGGCAGCCATAGCGAGGTCGGTTGCGCCTTCGTTCATGAAGAAGAAGAACCCGGCCTTCCGCTCCTCAGCTTTGCCGCCTTTCTCATCATCCTTCTCCTCTCCAGTAGCTCTCATGACTCCCCCACTCCTCGTGCCACCACGCTGGTTGCTTGATGAAGGCGGGGTCTAATCCTTGGGTCATAGGTAGCACTTCCGCCAACGATGTCCGCACTTCTTGCAGTAGAAGCACACCTCCCCTTGACCCCCGCCGCCATCCTCTTGAGGGTTGTCCTGGTTCTTTCCCTTCCACTTCTTTTTGAAGCCACTCTTTCCACCTCCAACTCCATAGCCAGCCCCCTCCTCCGAGCGCTCCACACTCCGCCGCCGCAAGTCCTCCTCTAGGATGCGCGCGCGAATGTAACCCACGCTCCATTGGGGTTGTTGGGAGTTGAGGTTGTTCGCTAGCGCAGACCACGACTTCGGCAGCCGTATCACGATCTCCACGCATTGCACAAGCTCCGGGTACACCACACTGCCGCCTTGCAGCTTCGTAAAGATGTCCCGCATCTCATCCAACACCGGTTGCATCGGCTCTCCATCAACGAACTTGATGTCGCGCAGCCGCCGCGCGAGTAGCACGATGCGGTAACATGTGTCGGTGAGTGCACATCCAGAAGCTTCCTCCAAGCCTAGGGGCCACACTCTGGATCACCCAAGAGGTCCTTGATGTGGTCAAGTTGTCGCCCACCAACCGCTTGCACCATTAGCATGTACACGTCAAACGATCGCTTCATCCACGCTCCTTTCAGCTCCGCGGCCTCCGCCATTTTCTCCTTCCCCTCCACCAGATCCAATAGCTTGTATTGGGTGTACATCAGCCTCATGTGGAAGCTCCAGTGCTCGTAATCCTCCCCCATGAATTTCTCAATAGAGAAAGCTTTTACAGGATCCACGGTAATAGGAGATGGTGTAGAAGAAGTAGGTAGCGTAGGGTTGGCTGGTTGGTGAGTCCCCACTCCTCCACCAGCAACTCCCCCCTGCTCTCCAGCCTCTCTTCTTCTATCCATCTCGTCACTAGCACCTCCGGAGTTCGTACCAACCATATTGAGGCCTTATGAACGGTGAAACTTGAGAAATCGTTTGCAGAGAATTCTGTCAGAACTTTTCGATTCTACGAAAATCGCCGTCGCGGAATGGAACGTGGTTTGACCACCAATCGAAAGTTCGTGAGGAGAGCTACCAGAAAATGGTCTCACTTGAAAACATTGGTTGAGAAGTCACGACGATTCGTCGTCTCAAAGTCGACTACCCGCTCTGATACCACTTGTTGTTCAGGATCCGTCACTTTGAGAGCTTACGACGAACTCATTTCTCAACTAGACGCAAATCCGCTCGGTAGGAAGTTGCGCCTTAGGCTTAGCTACCATCTCCAAGTTGATTCAGTTGTTAAGATGGTCTATAGAGTGAGAATCGATTGAGAACGTCCAGCAGCCGCATGACTAGAATGGTGGAGGAAGTACAAGCATTTAGGCATAGAAAGTTGGAGTTGGGGACTCCAAGAGAACCATGAGAGGGAAGGGGTTCTCCAAGAGCTAGGGAAGGATGGTAGGAATCTTCCTAGCAGCAAGGATGCAACCCTCATCATGAGGTCCTTGAGGTGTCACATGCAAAATCCAATCTAGTTGGATTTTGCCTAGGTGTTGCAACATTTGCAACCCATGCTAGAAACTTCTAGCCACCCCAATCCAAAAGTCAAAGTTGCCTTCCCTAACGACCCAACCAAAGATCCCTTTATAGTCATGTCCCAAGTAATCACCCAAATTAGATATAACCCCAAAAGGTAATAAGAAATCTAAGTCTTGAAAATCTTGTAACTTGGGCGATCTTGGTCGGAGTAAGGTGATCTTGGTATCGTTGGAAAGCTCTGGATTTCTCGTGCATGATCAAGCATTTAAACTTGGAGAAAAACACAGAGATGAAAATATCCAACAGCCATGCACAATGACATATGCTCATGCAAACAATGCACGCATGAATAGCACGAGCACTCGGCAGGACGTTAGGATGATATGCACTCAGAATGACGTGCATCCAACACCGTCCGGTGTGACAGGGTGCGACACGAGCAGGGGGCGGACAACTGACCTGACGCAGACGCAGACGCCGCTACCTGAGGGGACTGAGTGGTCAGTGTGTACAAGTCCGACCCCGGCTGCCGAGTGAAGGAAGCCAGGTGACGACCCGTCTGGGCACACGTGCAGTGTGTCACACGCTCGTAGGCAGGGTTGAACTGGTGAACACCCGCGGGCTGCACGCGCTAAAAACGGGCGGCGTGAGAGAGAGAGGTGCGCGAGGGCGTGTCAGATTATTATAGCTGATGCATGTTTGTAGGCTATAGTGGGGTAGCACATATGGGGTACAGTTTGCTAGGGTTGTATTTGTACCCAACTCTGACTTAGTCAATTCATTCCTGTTCAGTTAGTTTCACATGGTATAGAGCGGGTCCCTCCTAAGGACCGTTCTTTGGGCCCACCCACGATTTTTTTTTCCTGCCCGGAGCGCGCCCTATTCTCCCCGAGGCGCGCTCCCCCTAGTGCGCGTCGAGCTGCCCTTGTGGCGCCCCGAGAGTCGCGCGCGCGACTCATTTTTTTCGCGCGCGCGGTTCAGGCCCCACTTCGCGCGGCCCTTACAGCCGCGCCGCGCCGCCCTCTCGGCTCTGCCGCGCCGCGCCGCCCTCAAGACGGCCGCGCGGCCTCTTCGTCGCTGCAGCAGGCCCCCCCCCCCCCCCCCCCCCCGCTGCACCTCTGTCGGCCCCGCAGCCGCCTTACCTGACGGCCGCCGCCTCACCTGACGGCCCGCCGCCTCGACTTCTGGCCCGCCACCTCACCAGACGGCCCCCCCCGCCTCACCTGACGGCCCACCGTCTCACCTGCTGGCCCGCCACCTTACCTGACGGCCCCGCCGCCTCACCTGACGGCCCGCCGCCACCTTACCTGACGGCCCCGCCGCCTCACCTGACGGCCCGCCGCCTCACCTACTGGCCCGCCACCTGACTTGACGGCCCCGCCGCCTCACCTGACGGCCCGCCGCCTAACCTGCTGGCCCGCCACCTCACCTGAAGGCCCGCCGCCTCACCCGCTGGCCCGCCACCTGACCTGACGGCCCCGCCGCCTCACCTGCTGGCCCGCCACCTGACCTGACGGCCCCGCCGCCTCACCTGACGGCTCGCCACCTCGCCTGCTGACCCGCCACCTGACGGCTCCGCCGTCCCCTGTCCCGGCCCCGCCGCTGCACCCTGACGGCCCCGCCGTCCCCTGTCCCGGCCCCGCAGCTGCACCCTGACGGCCCCGCCGAGCCGCCCAGCAGCAGCCGAGCCGCCCAGCCGCAGCCGAGCCGCCCAGCGGCAGCCGAGCCGCCCAGCAGCAGCCGAGCCGCCCAGCAGCAGCCGAACCGCCGAGCAGCAGCCGAGCCGCCCGGTACCCGAGACGCCCGAGCCGCCCGAGCCGCCCGAGCCGCCCGAGCAGCCCGAGCCGCCTGCTGCTGACCTACCCGACTCTCCCATCCTGGTGAGACTTTCAGCTGCTGCCATGGCCACCCCCAATGTTCTCACTTTTGACGCTGAGGGGAGGGCCATTGACTTTGCCGTCTGGATCGAGGACCTGCAGCTGTACTTACTGTGTGATGCGGTAGATGAGGTCTCTCTCTTTGACTTTGTCTCTGGCGCTGTCCCTGCCCCGCCTGCTGATGCTGACTCTGCCGTTCGCTCCAAGTGGGCGACCCGCGATGCTGCTGCACGTCTTGCTGTGCGTCGCCACCTCCCTTCCTCTGAGCGTGCCCACTTTAGTCAGTGCAAGACCGCTCAGGCCTTGTACGACGCTGTAGTTGCGCGCTACTCCTCCCCTTCCTCCGCTACCCTTAGCCGCCTCATGCTACCGTTTCTCTTCCCTGACCTCGCTTCCTTTCCCACTGTCGCTGACCTCGTCACCCACCTCCGCGCTAGTGACACCCGCTACCGCGCTGCCCTTCCTGCTGAGTTCCGCGCTGCGAACCCTCCTCCCATGTACATCACTCTCTACTTTCTCGTCACCCGTCTCCCTGAGTCCCTTCGTGTCGTTAGGGACCAGTTTCTCTCTGTCTGTCCCACCACTCTCACTGTCGACCTCCTTGAGGAGTCCCTGCTAGCGGCTGAGAAGAGTATTGTCGCTGTAGGGGCCTCTCGGGGTGACCCTCGCACCCCCATCTTTGAGGGGTGTGGTCCCTCCCCCCTGCTGCCCTCTGTCGCCTCTGCTGCTGCGGCCGACCTCGTTGGTTTTGAGTCGGTCGGCGCGGCGTCTGCCCCCAGTAGCAGACGCCGCACTGGCAAGGGCAAGGGGGGCAAGGGAGCGGGTGGAGCCAGAGGGGGCGGTGGAGGAGGCGGTGGGGGTGGAGGGGGGAGTGGGGGTGGCGGGGGGGGTGGTGGCGGGAGTGGAGGTAGTAGTGGCGGCGGTGGAGGCGGAGGTGGCGGCGGAGGTGGTAGCGGAGGAGGCGGTGGGAGCGGTGGGAGCGACGGTCCTGGTGGGGGAGGTGGCGGTGGCGACGGGGGTGGCGGTGGAGGCGGGGGTGGCGGTGGAGAAGGGGGTCGGAGTGGCTCGTCCCAGCGGAGCAGCTCTGGGGGTGGTCAGCGCCAGCAGCAGCAGCAGCAGCAGCCACAGCAGCAGCCGCAGCAGCAGCAGCGCTCTCGCACCGTCCCCGGCCCTCAGCAGCTCCGTGAGTGGTACTTGCAGCGTCAGCGCGGTGGTGCGCTTGGTCCCTGCCCCTACGTTCTTCGCACTGGTGACCGTGCAGGGGAGAGGTGTGGAGGCGCCCACACAGCCCGTCGCTGCTTTGGCCGCCTGACCGACGCCTGGCGTCAGCAGTTTCCGGAGGCCGCTGAGATCCCCCGCTGGGGAGAGCTGTCTAGGGCTGGTGTAGCTATTTATGATCTTGATTTTGATGCTATTCTCTCTGCTATGTATGCTGTGACTGGTAGTAATGAGGATGACTGTTACCGGTGTTTCCCGCCCGACCCGGGCATTGGTACTGCCGCGTCAGGTACTAGTGAGGCTGCTGCTCTAGGTGCCAGTGCGTCTGTGCTTTCAGGTACTGGTGAGTCCGCCCTCTCAGGTACTGTGTCGGCTTCGGCCTCTCACACCTTCACCCTTGACTCTGGAGCGTCTCGCTCCTTCTTTAGGGACCGCACCACTCTCACGCCGCTGAGTCGGCCTGTTGCGGTGTCCCTGGCGGACCCCTCTGGGGGGCCTGTCCTGTCTCGCTTCTCCACTGTCCTCCCGTGTCCGGCGGCCCCCTCTGGCACCCTGACTGGTCTCTACCTCCCCTCGTTCTCGACGAACTTGGTGAGTGGTGCTGACCTCCAGGATGCGGGTGTCCACCAGTTCACCCCTGCTCGTCAGCGGGTGACCCACTGCACGGAGGCGGATACAGGTCGCCACCTGGCTACGTTTACACGTCGGCCAGGGTCGAGCCTGTACACACTGACCTCTGCTTCTCCTCCAGGTGCTGAGTCTGGTAGGGTCCCTTCGTCTGGTCAGGTGTTTGCTGCAGCGTCCAGGTCTGGTCCTGAGTCTGCCCCTTGTTCGTGTCGTCGTCTGTCTCACGAGACCCTCCTCTGGCACCACCGCCTTGGCCACCCCTCTCTGCTTCGGCTCAGAGGCATGGCCTCGCGGGTTCTTGTGTCTGGTCTTCCCCGGTCCCTCCCTCCCCTTCCTCCGGGCCCTGGCCCTGCCTGTGTCCCCTGTGTCGAGGGGCGCCAGCGTGCTGCCCCTCACTCCTCCCAGTTTCCTCCGACAGAGGCCCCGTTGCAGACGCTTCACATGGACGTGTGGGGCCCAGCCCGCGTCCGTGGACAGGGTCAGGAGCGCTACTTCCTGCTAGTGGTTGACGACTACTCGCGTTACACCACAGTCTTCCCCTTGCGCAGCAAGGGTGAGGTCACTCAGGTGTTGATCGACTGGATCCGCGCAGCTCGTCTTCAGCTTCGGAGAAGCTTTGGCTCTGACTTCCCTGTCTTGCGTCTGCACTCGGACAGAGGCGGAGAGTTCTCCTCGGCCCTCCTGAGTGCCTACTGTCGTGTGCGAGGCATCCGTCAGACCTTCACGCTTCCGGACTCACCACAGCAGAATGGGATCGCTGAGCGCCGCATTGGCATGGTCATGGATGTCGCTCGTACGTCCATGATGCATGCGGCTGCTCCCCATTTTCTGTGGCCGTTTGCGGTCAGGTACGCTGCGCACCAGATCAACCTCCACCCCAGGGTCTCTCGACCGGAGACCTCCCCAGCTCTGTTGTGGACGGGGAAGGTTGGCGATGCGTCGGCGTTCCGGGTCTGGGGATCTCGGGCGTTTGTTCGCGACCTGTCTGCGGACAAGCTGTCCCCTCGTGCTTCTCCCTGCGTCTTCCTCGGGTTCCCCCCCGACGCCCCTGGGTGGCAGTTTTACCACCCCACCTCTCGACGTGTTCTGTCCTCCCAGGACGTCACGTTCGACGAGTCGGTACCCTACTACCGCCTCTTCCCCTACCGCACTCCGTCCCTCCCCCCACCCCCGCTCTTCTTGGTACCAGGTCCCCCCCCAGTTGTCCCCCTCCCCCCTCAGGGTCCTGCCCCTTCAGGTGTGTCTCAGGTAGACGCGGTCGAGCCTGTCGAGGTCACTGGTGACTCCGGTGCTGCTGCGGGAGCTGAGCCTGGGGGTGCGGAGTCTAGGGGTGCTGAGCCTGGGGGTGCTGAGCCTGGGGGTGCGGAGTCTGGGGGTGCTGGGCCTGGGGGTGCTGAGCCTGGGGGTGCTGTGCCTGGGGGTGCTGAGCCTGGGGGTGCTGTGCCTGGGGGTGCTGTGTCTGGGGGTACTGAGCCTGGGGGTGCTGAGCCTGGAGGTGCCGAGCCTGGAGGTGCTGTGCCTGGGGGTGCTTCGTCTCGCCGGGAGCCGCTCTCTCCACAGGAGCTGCGTGAGTGGTTTGCCCGGCGCTGGAGGCGTGCCGCTGGTGCTGGTGGTTCTTCGGCTGCGGAGGGCGCTGCTGCCACGCGACCTGGCGGCGCTCGTCCTGTGGGTGCTGGAGCTGCTGGGTCTGAGGGTTCTCCTGGAGCTGGTCCTGCTGAGGACGTTGGCGCTGAGCCTGCGGTTGGTGGTCCGACTGACGGTGCTCCTGGTGCTGCTGCTGGAGGTTCTGGAGCTTCTGGTGGTTCTGCTGGAGGTGCTGCTGGAGTGGGTGCTCCTGCCGGGGGTGCTGGTGCTGTTCCTGCTGTTTCTGGCGTCGCCGCGCGGCCCCGACCGTACTTCGTTCCGCTCCTGCAGCAGGTTCTTGGTCTTACACCTCCTCCTCCTCCCTTAGAGGGTCCGCAGCCTGTCCGGTCACAGCCACAGCTACAGCCTGCCTCCCCTTTGCCTGCTCCTTCTCCCTACGCTGGTCCGACTGGAGGTCTTACTGAGCGTCGTGAGCCTGCGTCTCGTCCTGCGTCGCCTGTTCGTACTGAGCGCGCTAGTGGTCGCGGGTCGCGTCAGCGTCCTCCTCCTGTCCCTGGCACGCACCGGATGTCACTGCGTCCGTCCACTGCTCCTCTGCGTGCCCCTTTGCCTTCTCCTCCTGCTTCCTCTCTTCCTGCTCTTGCCGACCCGGAGTCGGACTCTCTTCGTGCTGCCAGTCCTACTGTCACGCGTCTCCTTGCTACTGCTGTCACTGACCCTTCCTTCGAGTCGTCTGCTGCGTCTGCCCTTGTCACTGAGCTTGTCGACTTTGCTGCGCGCTGTCGTCTAGACTACGCTGCTCGTCTTGTCGCTGAGTCTGAGTCCGCCTGTCCTCCGTCCGTCGGGGGTGAGTGTGCCCTTGGCACGGACGTCCTAGAGGACAGGCAGGAGGAGTTCCAGTGTCTAGCCGCTGCTTCACCTCGTCTCGCGTCTGTACTGCTAGCCCCTGAGGGAGACCCGGATGCACTAGACATCCCGACTCCGCGTTCTTACGCGGAGGCCGTAGAGGGTCCCTACTCCTCTCAGTGGCAGGCAGCTATGGATGCAGAGATGGCTTCCTGGAAGTCCACAGGCACCTACGTTGACGCGGTTCCCCCTCCTGGGGCGAACATCGTCAGCGGCATGTGGATCTTCAGGGTGAAGCGGCCGCCGGGCTCGCCGCCTGTCTTCAAGGCGCGTTACGTGGCTCGTGGCTTCAGTCAGCGGCAGGGAGTTGACTACTTTCAGACCTTCTCTCCCACCCCGAAGATGACCACTCTTCGGGTGCTGCTGCACATTGCCGCTCAGCGCGACTACGAGCTTCACTCTCTCGACTTCAGCACTGCGTTCCTGCAGGGTAGCCTGCACGAGGAGATCTGGCTGCGCCGTCCGCCTGGCTTCACTGGGACTTTCCCTCCTGGCACCCAGTGGAGCCTCCGACGGCCAGTCTACGGTCTCCGCCAGGCACCGCGTGAGTGGCACGACACACTGAGGACTACGCTTGCGGCTCTTGGGTTTGCTCCTTCTACTGCTGACCCGTCGCTGTTTCTTCGCACCGACACTTCCCTGCCGCCGTTCTACATCCTCGTGTACGTCGACGACTTGGTCTTTGCCACAGCGGACACTGCTGGACTCGCCTACGTGAAGTCCGAGCTGCTGAAGAGACACACGTGCACAGACCTGGGTGAACTGCGCAGCTACCTTGGCTTGCAGATCACTCGGGACAGAGCACGCCGCACCATTACCCTGACTCAGTCACACATGGTGCAGCAGGTCCTTCAGCGCTTCGGCTTCACGTACTCCTCGCCTCAGGCCACTCCTCTGCCTACTCGCCACTCACTCTCAGCTCTGCCTTCGGATGAGTCCGTAGAGTCGAGTGGTCCGTATGCAGAGCTTGTTGGCTGCCTCATGTACCTGATGACCTGCACACGACCTGACCTTGCATACCCTCTGAGCATCCTTGCACGCTATGTTGCTCCTGGGAGACACCGACCAGAGCACATGGCTGCAGCGAAGAGGGTATTGCGCTACCTGTGCAGTACGTCGGGCATGGGGCTAGTGCTTGGAGGGCGGAGTCCAGTGGTCCTTACTGGGCACGCAGACGCTTCTTGGGCTGACGACCAGGCTACGCAGCGGTCGTCACAGGGTTACACCTTCAGCCTTGGTTCCGGCTCTGTCTCGTGGCGGTCTACTCGCTCGTCTTCGGTTCTCGGCTCCAGTTGTGAGGCTGAGATCTACGCCGGGGCCATGGCTGCACAGGAGCTTCGCTGGCTCACCTACCTGCTGACTGACCTTGGAGAGCTGCCTCGTTCTCCTCCAGTGCTGTACGTAGACAACAAGGCCATGTTGGCCTTGTGTCGAGAGCAGCGCTTGGAGCACAGAACGAAGCACATTGCTCTCCGCTACTTCCTTGCTCGTGAGCTGCAGCAGCGTGGTCAGTTGCGACTTGCTTACGTGGCCTCTGAGGCCAACACTGCTGATGTGTTCACCAAGGCACTTGCGCCTTGCGACCATCAGCGCTTTTGTACCCAGCTGGGTCTTGTACCTGTCTTGCCTCACTTGCTCTCTTCTTGACTTTACTTGTACTTTGACATATATATACCTGCTCTTGCTTGTCTAGTTTTTATATATATGTCTGTACTCCTGCATGTGAACTGGCCTCTGGCCTTGCTCTTGTGCTCGGACTGTGTGGTGACTTTGTGATCCACCCTGAGCTTGTTTTGCTTTGCTTGACTGGTCTTGTGACCCCTTGTTCTCCCCCACTTTGCCTATGGGGGTGTGTCAGATTATTATAGCTGATGCATGTTTGTAGGCTATAGTGGGGTAGCACATATGGGGTACAGTTTGCTAGGGTTGTATTTGTACCCAACTCTGACTTAGTCAATTCATTCCTGTTCAGTTAGTTTCACAGGGCGCACTAGCAGAGAGGCGCACGAGGGCGCGAAGGCGGTAGGGCGCTCGAGGGCGCTTCTAGCGGAACGGTGGGCCCTTAGGACTAAGCGGTCCTAGGTTTCTAACCTAGGCTCGTAATGCCATGTTAGAATCAACAAGAGTGATTGAACTAGGAAAGAGTTGGGTACAAGTAGGAAACCCTAAACTTATTGTACCCCATAGTAACTACCCCACTACAGCCTAAACAAACTGTAGCAGAAATGACATTTGACACATCTTGCCACGTTCGCCAGGGCACCCAGGTCTCTAGGTCTAGCATACGTGTACCCCCAAATAGCTGCGTCAGGCCAGGTCACTACGTCCAATCAGGTTGCTGCATCGTGCTCTTGTCGGTCACTCGCCCACCTGACATACCTATGGCACCACCACCTTGGTCACCGATCCCTCCCATTCCTCCGCAGTATGGCTAGCCAGCATCTTGTTTTAGGTCTCCCACGCGTCTTTGCGTCGCTCCCTCCTTCGACTGCGCTGTTGTGCATTCCTTGCGTCAAGGGTCGGCTGCGCACCACTCCTCACTCCTCTCTTCGTCCGGCCACCGCACCCTTCTAGACTCTCCACTTGGACGTCTAGAGCCCCGCCCCTCGTCGTGGGCCTGAGAGGGAGTCCCTTGGCGAAGAAGTCTGACTTGACTTTTACGCTAATCAGGTGGCTACTAGGCACTGAGGCCACTCGTGGTAGTTATGTTGTTTGTCTTCCCTCTGACCGTGGGGGTGAGTTTCACTCCAACATACTTGCTGGATTCTGTTGCGAGCAGGGCATCACCCAGTCCTGGACGCCTTCGGAGTCCCCAAAACAGAATTGGGTTGCTGAGCGCCGAATAGGCTTGGTCATGGAGATTGCCTGCACCTCCATAATTTATGCCCGTGCGCCCTAATTTTTGTGGACCTACGTGGTTCACTACGTCGCCCACCAGTTGAACCTCTGGCCTCGTGTCTCACGGCCGGGATTCGCCGACCAGTCTTTGGATCGGGTCCCCTGGTGTTGCGTCGCAGTTTCGTGTTTGGGGCTGCCTGGCGCATGTTCGCGACACCTCTTCGACAAGCTTTCTGTTCGCGCCCTTTCCTGTGTCTTCCTTGGTTTCCCAATGGCCGCCCCGGACTTTGCGTTTTATTACCCACCCCTCCACCAGTTCCTTGACTCTTGTGGTGTCACCTTTGACGAGTACGTGTCCTACTTCCCTCGGTACCCCAGTCGAGGTCTCTCGGTTCCCACCTCCTTCCCTTTTTGTCACCCCCTCTCCTCATCTTGCTTCGGCAGCTCCAGTATGACCGCCCCCCCCCTTGGTCCTGCCCCGT